TTTTTTTTGTTTAGCAGACCTTACAGTAGGAAACAAATAGGGGACAGGGGTCTACAGAATAGTCCCCTATGCAACTTTAGATTCTGAACATGATGCCTACTTGAAGCAAATTTCTCATCAGTATATTTCTTGTAAAAATAAATTTACGGTGCATCAATCACTTATTGGCCACATAAATAGTTTCATTTAGGGATACTGTAAGCTCAAGACTTTATGGAACCTTCAAAGTTCACACTGATTGTTTAAAGGGTAAATATTCCAGCTGAAGTTGGGAAAAACTAATTTTAAACTTTTAGTTTAATCACACAAAAGACTTAGTGCAAACAATAGTGGTGTTTAAAACTCTGAGCTCAGAAAAAAAGGTTATGATGATGTCGTGGACTATCAATAGAACACCAACTGCAACCACAGGGTGATTTTTCTGACGTTTATATCACAAATGATTAAGATTAAGCAACATCTGCTGTCGTAGCCCGTTGATCTTCGTGCAAAGTCCATTCTATGATTGTTCACTAAAGAAGTAAAAATTACTCTGCAAGCCTTACTCCAAGATGGGAAGGGTTGCAACTTAAATACACTATTTTTCATAATTAGAAGTAACTTTTAGCGTCTTCTGCAAAAGTTTAAGGGGCGCATCAGGGAGGAGACGTTAAAAGAAACGTTGCGTGAGCAGGGTCAAGTTACATGAAGCATTTAAATTATTTCCAAAATTAATTTACTTTATGGATAAAAAGTGATTTCAATCTGAGCAGATAACAACGAGCAAAGTGAAATCAATGTTCTCATATTACTTAGAAGCCTGCCCTTGGTGGCTTATTGATGTACAATATGAAGATTAATTTACATAATTATTGACTTATTGACCATTTTATTTTTTAATGACACATACATTATAAAGATCCCATTTTTTGTGATTTTTGAAATAAAGAAGCCGTTAAAATGTTGTTTATTCTATATTCATCACAACTAACTGAAAAAGAAAGTGTTAAAGCTCAATGTAAAACTATTTCAGCTATGCGAGTGTTTCTTGCATACTCGGTTTATAGCAATGGATCTATTCTGTTGAACGTTAGCCCTCCAAAACAGGGAACACTCAAATCGCTAGCTTCAATTCGTTTTATCTCTATGACTTGGGTCGTAGCCGGACATGTGCTGATGGATGATGCGGCAAGCGGTTGGTCACTGTTTTTCTGAAAATCTGAGACCTCTAATATTTATCTGTTACAGACACCCTTCTGCCTGTACTGAAAATGTTTCATCCATTTTTGTCAACTACAATATCAAATGCATTCTTCTCAGTGGACACATTCTTTCTTTTATCTGGAATTCTTGTTTCCTACCTATTCTTCAGAAGCAAACCTACTGCTAAACATGTGAAAAGTCCAATTGTATGGATAATGTTCTACGTGCATCGCTACCTCAGGTAAATTTGATACCTTACATATAGGATCAAAATCTTGAATATGTAGTTTTCAAAAGCTTAATCTGCTATAAGCTATAACTTTCAACTTAAGCTATTAAGAAGCTCAGGCTTTATCCCTCTACACAAAACGAATAAATCAAGAAATGAAAAGACTAGAGAAAACGGTTATCGCCCATATGAAGATAGAGTAGCTGATTAGAATTCGTGTTTTTAATGGCAACCGTAGGCAGTATTGTTATAGGAATCTACATCCGCGTGGTGATAGAGCATCTAAATTCAGATTTACTTTTGCATCTTTGAACTGCTGCGTTTTTTCCATTCATTTGCAGTGAGTGCGAGAGTAAAAGCAGAAGAGCCTTGTTTTAATTATAGAGTCAAATATAAAAATTTCACTCAAACAAGAACTTATCTGATAAGTCTCTTCTATCACTGAGCTTCTAGCA